GTATGTTTGATAAAAATAACTGTTTTACTTGGTCCTATATTCAGTGCAGCAACTATTATGTAAATAGCTCACATGCATAAACGGCGCATCAACGTAACAAATTGTTTTTGTTTTAGGGATTCGTTGATACTCACAAATGTGAAGACGCCGTGAGTGCTCGCCGTCATGTTTTGCTCATGAACGAAGAGATAACTAAAGCGCCCCTGAACTTCGACTTGATACAAGACCGCATGATGTGGACGTTTCAGTCTTGCCAAGAATGGATCCTCAGCGATGCTGGAGCCCTCACAGTCCTTGAGGAATTTCCGGCAATGACGATTCCCGGAATGGTAACTCAATATTATCTTCTTTATATCTAGTCTTAAAGTTTCGAGATTTTTACACGTCATCAGGACTTCAAAAGTTTCTTACTACCGGTTTTATCGCCTGTGAATGAGATAGGGGCTTTTGATACGTGCTAAATTAAATAATTTTACCTCGTAATAAGGCTAGACAATCAATTAGTTAGCATTCCGATTAATTAACTATTATTTTACTCTGAATCAAGTGAGTTTAACTGGCATATTGGTTGGATTTAGAGTTACGAAAAGTCTTATACACAAAAAAGTAAAAAGAATATTCATTTAATTATTTTTGTGTGTTTATAACACAATTGTCTCTCATGGCTACTTGAGTGTTTTATATGATTATTATCTAGAGTGGTTTTGAAGTTTAAATAATAACGTACAAATATTTTATTTTAAATGTCTTCCATGCTTTTCTTGTGTATGAGCACAACGGCAAGTTGATATTTGAACTTGTTATTGTACAGATATGTACATATATTTTATTTTAAATGTTAGCCATGCCTTAGTTCTGTATGAGGCACAATGACAAGTTGTTATGTACTAAGCCTTATAAGACGTAGTAAAAACTTGTCAAAGAAAAAAATCGGTTGCTCTAGGCCTTTTCTGGACACAATATCTTGCCTCGAGATTAGCGCGACATATAAATTGATTAACTAGTCAATATAAAAGAAAACGTAAATCGAAATTATTTTAATTGACGCCAAGCCTTTCTCCACTATAGTGACAGTAAGTGGTCATTTAGTTAATATATATATATATATATATATATATATATATATATGTGTGTGTGTGTGTGTGTGTGTGTGTGTGTGTGTGTGTGTAAACAATCCGTGTGTACAAATCCATAGCGCATAAATGTACTTTTGTAAACCAGCAACACTGTCCATTCGTTGTTTATTTTTCAGTTACTACAAGACGTTAAACTGCCGTTCGGCAAAGACATCCGGAGGACATGGGAGCCAAGGTGGAGGCATTTACAGCTTCTACACAGGTGTTCCTCATAGGAAAAGAACGTCACTCTGAACCTCGAAGAGCTGCTTGAAGGTATACTTTAGTTGGTGTTTTTGTAATCTATCACAAGTTTCAGACTGCGACGACGCAGAGGTTTACCTTCGTCCACCATAAATATGCTGGGTTAACTTACTACCTCATTACGAACTGATGACCGCTTATCGGGGCCATTCGTTTAAAACAGGGTTAACTTATACTCAGAAACAACTTTCTGCGGCGTTTCTGAAGTGAAGAGTGCGTGTGCATAGCCTTGATTGGCGCTTAAGATGCGCGGGCGTTTTTAACTTGGACTACATTGCCAAAAAAGTTGCCCAAGTCACCCCCGAGTATAGTGCATTGTCACAGATGGCAATGCAAGCTTGTCAGGGTTATATTTTCAATATACGAGCTAGTAATATAAAACAAATCCTTGCTTTATTTTCTAAAAATAATTTAGAGGAAATATAAGCGACTAAATTCAATGACAGGTTAAGAAAAATCTAAAAGAAGAAAGCCGATGGACACTTGAAATGGAGAGAAGGTTTCTCCTCTCCCCTACAAGCTTCTGTCCGCTTCCTCCTCTCCAGCTCGTAGATTTTTTCTTAACCTGTTACTGACTGTAGGGCAAGAAGGATTAAATATGGGTAGAACCAACGTTTCTTGAAACATGCTTAAAATTCCTGTGCATCTACTTCCCCCAGAACACTCGAGAAGCCAATCACACCAATCCACGAAGAGAACTCGGCGAATAAAAAGGCCAAAGCATGTTTAGACATATGCATGAAGCAAGAGATGTCACTGAGCATGACGGTTCACGCACTGACTTCATGCTCAGTGTCACGTTACAGACTTCATTTTTAAGTCAAACATATTTTCAGCTTCTCCATTGGCCGAGTTTTCTTCGTAGATTGCATTGATCGGCCCCTCGAGTATTCTCAAGGGAAGTGGACGCACGGGCACTTTTAAAAGCAGAGAAAATGCTGTGGCACGTTGGGCATTGTTTTACGTGTGTACTGCACATATATTGTAATTCATTGACTTCCGATTTTCTTCCTTTACTACTTCTTGGATGGAAAGGGAACGCTTGATGCTGCGTACCATTTTTCGCTTTTACACATTGCTGTAGCGAAGGGGGCTTCGAATGGGACGCTTCGTCATCCGCTGGTTGCGCTCTCTAGATCGCACTGATTGACCCACTAAATGTTTTGAAGGAAATCACATCTGCGGGTATGTTTTAGAGAGTAAGGCTAAACGAGAAATAAAATGCTTAGTGAAACCTATATAATTATAATTGATCTGAAAGCGCGGCGAATGAGCAACTCGCAGCATAATAATACAGAGGAAAATACATGTGTTCATATTCTTGTTTTCTTGATGTAGGAAGTCCGGACACTGATGCCACTCATCCATCTCCAGGAAAATGAATTTGACATCTTTTTGGACGGTGTCCTGACAGTGAGCGACATCAGAACGACAGTAGAAGCTGTGTGCACATTGCTGGCAGTGATACCCGTCTCGTCTTGAAACTGTTTCGAATTTTGTTAGGTTTTTTACTGCAAACAGAAGAATCAATTTTCGCTACTCCAATAAAGTATATGATTGGACATGATGTTTACTGTTCTGCCTGTCACCTAGTTAATTACGTACAGGAATGAAGTGTGTTGACTCTGGCCAGACTGATGTTTGTCAACCTATCGAAAAGGCCCAGTGCTAGCGATTAATGAACAATCTAAAGACACTTTGGTTGGTAGAAAAAAATGCACCTTGTGGAGCAAGAAATACAAAATACGATTTACTAAAAACTAACTAGGAATGTAAAAAAAAAACTCATTTGTCATAAAAGAGGGTTAGAAGTACCAAATATGGTTTACTAAAATAACGCTAACATAATCTAAAGAACTCGGGATTTATTGAAAGAACCAAGGAGGGTTCCGAATAAAACATGAAATAGGGTTCATAAAGAAAAACCACAGAAGGATCCGTAACGAACCTCGAAATAAGGTTCATTAAGAGCACGAAGAAGGGTTCTGGAAAGAACCCAAATCGGGTTCATTAAGAAGAACCAATGAAGGATACGAAAAGAACCCTGAAATAGGGTATATTAAGAGCACCAAAAAGGGTTCTGGAACGAACCCGAAATAGGGTTCATTAAGAGCACCAGAAAGGGTTCTGGAAAGAACCCGAAATGGGGTTCATCAAGAGCACCAAAAAGGGTTCGGGAAAGAACCCGAAATAGGGTTCATTAGGAAGACCCAAAAAAGGATCCTAGAAGAACCCCTAAATAGGGTTCGTTAAATAGAACCCAGAAGCGTTCTGAAAAGAACCAAAAATAAAGTTCATTAAGAAGAACCAATAAACGATCCGAAAAGAACCCCGAAATAGGGTTCATTAGAAAGAACCCTTTTTGTGGGTTCTTTTCTGCACCTTTAAGGGTGCCGCCCATTGGACAAGCGAAAGAACCCTAAAAGGTGCTAGTTGGCACGCTTTTTTTTTAGAGTGTACATGCAAGTTCAACTAATCGCCCTCTTCTTCAGCGTTTTATCCGGTAAAAAAACTTGCCTCCGAGATGTTGAAACATAATCTGTGTATCGCACGCTCTCATTCTGCAGGTGACATTACTGTTAACATGAATGCTTTCTTTTAGACATCCGTAACGTCCCTCAGACATTCCAGGAGTTGGTATGAACATATATAACAGCAAAAAACTCACGGTAGAGGAGCTTCCAAAAATCCGTTATTATTGAGGCCGCCAGTACCATTGCGGTCAAGTCAGCATATTTAAACCCAGGGTTGATAGACAAACCTAAAAGTGGATTATTCAACTGTTTTTTTTACAATAATGCAGAAAGGTAATATACCAAAAACTTGTATCCAGTATATTTATACCGTGCGGGCCATCAAGTAAAAAGTGAGAAGGAAATAAGAAAATGTCGTTTTTAAGAAAATCGACTTCAAATATTTCAAAATCTTAGATTTTAAAGCGTTTGGAGAAGAATATATCATGTTTTGCAAAGAGTACTAATACAAAACGCGCATTACCGAATAGTCTGTATTTATAGCTATGCACTGAAACTTGTCTTGATGTCATTATCTTGAATGGTTAGTTTACTAGAATAATTCAAATTGGAGGCGAATTTGCTCCAGGGAGCAAGTTTGCTATTTTACCCGAAAATAACAATAAAACTTCAATATCGCTGTTTTATTTATATAAATGGTTTATCGCATTCCTTGTATTGTAAAAATATATTAGCCGTCTGCGTAAAGTAAACTGTCTTGAAACTATGTTCAAATTTGCGAGAAAACAAATATTGAGTTTCTTTGCATATTTGACATTTTGTCTTTCGGGTTTCTATTTCTATGAAACTGTTTCGTTTTATTTTTTTAAAGACACCTTTTTTCGTCACAAGTATTGGGCTGCCGTATATAATTCAAGAACATCTGAGGATCCTCCCTTCCCATCCCCGCGCAAGTCCCCGGAAAATTTTGTCGAATTCTAAATGAAACCATCCAGCGAGAAATTCAAGTAACGTGTCCACGACCTGTGACCACAAGTCACGTGACGTCCGTTTCCATGAGGTGGTTCTGGGGGTTGTAGTTTGCGTTCAACAGGTTTTTATGCTGCACCGTTTTCGCGAGCTTGATCAAGCTTGTATAATTTTTCAGGGAGACGCCACGCTACCCTGGGTTCCCAACGTGCTTGCTGCCGTCCTTGCCCTCATCAGCGCGTGCTTGGTCGTGTTCCTTCCAGAGTCTTTCCAGAAGGTGCTCGAAGACACCTTCACCAAGGAGGATAAGAGGTACGCCTGCTTTGTGCGGTATAGCGCGTATAATTTTAATTCAAACTGATTTATTAAAAAAAGTCGTTAAATATAAACTAGTGCGACTTATGCAGGTGAGTTTTACGGCAAAGAGGACATTAAATAGGTGCATAGTTTGCACAATAAGTCGAATAAATACTGAGATATGTTAATTAACTTTTTGATTAGGGAAAATGAACATAACGATTGAATTCCAAACTTGGTGAGCATCTTCTAAAACCAATCAACTAATGTTTAGTACAAAAACGTCTAAGTACTTGTAAAGCTTGGTGATGCGCTAAAATTTCCATTCGCTCAACAGGTGAAACGCTGGCATTCAGAAATCGCAGATGAAAAAATTACCTGTATGTTAGCACCTGCAGCGTTGCGCAACACCTGTTTCACGTGTGGAACTCTGAGTGCATTCCCGCGCTTCAAACGTGATTTAAGTCTTATCAAAAATGGACCGATATAGTGGTGTTTTTCATCAAATTATATCAGTCCTCCCTGCCACCATGCACCCCCCCCCCCCCTCCTTTCCCCAATCGCCGGATCTTTCGCATTTATAAAGTATACGTAATTTTGTCTTTTTTTTGTGTATGAAGCAAGTGCCGTGTTTATCGCGACTGTGAGCTGTTTCAGTTACTGAGACCCCACAGATCCAAGTAACACGTTCAGCCGCGCGGTACATGCGAAATGGCAGAATTGCCTTCTTCCCCTAACGCCCTGCTGATTGCTTTAACACAGAGTATGTTTTATCAGTCGAACTCTGTGAGAGGATTGTCATGAAGTGTCATGAAGAACCGTCACGAAGGGCTGTGACGTCACGTGACACCATAGCATCACCGTCACGTGACATGACGTCATCATTACACTACTAGGTCGCGTGACGCCATGGTATCACGTAAAGTTACGAGGTCACATGACTCGCGGACGTAGCGTGACGCCATGACGTTATGTGACACCATGATTGCATGTGACGTCACAGTCATGTGACCTTATGACGTCACACAGACGCACATAGCATGCGCCCAACACACTTACAACGCATTTACCCCGCTGTCTCTGTCAGCTTGGTCAATCGAGTGCAACTCTTTGTTTTTGTTTCGCATGGCTTTTTATTGTTTTCGCAGGTCAAAGTCCGTAAAACAATAAAAAGACGGTACAGAGAAAAAGAAGACAATTGTTAGGGTGATGGAAGATAAAATGAAGGTATTTGAGGCCTGCAAAAACTGTGAAGAAATAGCTCACTAATCGAAGAAGTCAGTGTTGCTATTAAGAGTAAAACTGCTGTGTTCCTTAACGACCCTGTTTCATTGGTTTGCAGAAAAACGTCGGGGCCACCAGAAGAAACACCAGATATCTACTCGATTGAAAGTAGTCACATTTAGTAAAACAAAATAAAAAATAAAAGAATATTGAAGAAGAAATAAAAGAACTGAAAATCTCGTGTTTTACCACCCGATTAAATGTATTTTTGGTGTCATTGACTGATTGTAGTATTATAAAACGTGTCCGTAGGGTAAAGTGTGGAGTAAAATTTTCTACCATCGGTCTGTCGCTTTTTCACACGCATACACCATTGTAGCGAAAAGCAATGGACGGTTTTCCTGTTTTTCTTCAAAAGTCTGAGAACTGTCATCAAAACTACGATGGGTGAGAATATTGAGGTTTCTATTGTACTCAAACGTAAGCGTTAAACATCAGTGCCACTCTCGTGTTCTCTCTCATAGTGCTGCGCAGTGCGCCTTTCAATGGTTGCACGTTGTCTTGTACGCTACTCGAAAGAAGTAAACGATCGCAATTACAATATTACTCTAGGTTAAAAGTATTCAATTAGGTTACTTGTTTACATGAGAACAAAAGTAAGCGGGCATTACTTGGGGCGGTAATCGTTACTTTTTTGATTGCTTGAGATTTTTAGAACGTTTGATTTTTCTGCCGGTTCAAGAACGCCTCCCGTACTGTTTATCATTGGACCAGAATCACTGCAATATAAACTCCTTATTTTTTATCTACGAAGCTTTGGTAAACCATCCGGCTTACGGTGACTTGGTTCAAAGATTCCTTGTTATAACACAAATAAAGGGCACTCTTAGAAACGGCAGGGGTGAAAAGTGGCGGTTATAATTAATCTTAGTACTTTAAAAGTAATTCATTTACTCTCGCGATCGCTTTATAGTAAAAGTAATCTAATTATTCTAATATTAATTCAGAAAGTAATCGAATACAATTGTAATTTGATTACTTGTAATGAGTACAGTAACAAGTCTGGTTGCACGCCACCCAGACGTAGCTGCGAAAAAGCCGGGTGTTTCAGCTACCTTTTGCCCAGAATTTAGAAACAAATAAATGCTGGTGTACGCGCTACGTCTGTCATACCAACGTAGTATTGTTCAGTCCTCTTGAGAAACGCAGTGAAAATAAAAACCTTAATTTGGGGTCACACTGCATAATACGTCATACAAAAGACAGTTTGCATACAGATTCGAAAGCGAGTCACCCCGACATCACTACTTCGAATGCCGCATGGCAACGTGCTCGAGGAGAAAACTTGGCACGCGGGATTCGAACCACGAGAATTGCTGTGACTCGTGCTTGCAGACTGTCTCGTGTACGAAGAATGAACAGTGTGACCCTGGCTTTAAGTCTACGGACAAAGCTTGGGACAAGCACAACACCGTCGTCTGAGACGGTGTTGTGTTTGCTCAAATGTTTGTCCCTACATGTCAAGGTTTCTTTTTTCCACAATGACCGTTTGGCAGCTTGAATGCTCAGTAACCCTTATTTCACTTTTGCTACGTGTCCAACGAGTTAATTACCACAACTTAACTGGCGAGCGTTTTTTTTTTATATATCAATTGCTGCACAAACCTTCCAACACACTTTGTAGAGCGTGGTGAGGAACATCCCATTCTATCGTTTTTACCAAGGTAGCCTCATATAAAATATATTGACCTCTCAAGAAAACGTTCGGGATATTAAAAAAGCAAAAATTCCCCGTGACTATCCGCTAGTGAACTGCTGTTTTTGATGCTCTTAGTCAAGTGGGATTATTTTCTTTTTTTTCTTTGATCTCGCAGTTGATTTTGGATTGATGAAGCGTAGCTCCCCACGTGATCTCACGACGTTACTTGGCGGATCATAACGCACCAATGGATAGCGCAGCAGGGGCATGACGTCGCCACATCGCAAAGCAAACAATAGATGGCGTAGCGGGCACCTGCTATTCTCGCAATCACTTCAGTCAGCACTAACAACGTTACTAGAACAACTCGGTTGGGAAACTGCCACAGAGCCTTCTTTGAAAAAGTGGCTTCGATCCGAACTCGAGAACCGAACTAATAATATTAAAAATAAAAGAAATAATAATAATAATAATAATAATAATAATAATAATAATAATAATAATAATAATAATGCTTATTGCATTTAAAGTACACATATAATAAAATAACTGCCAAAACCTCACTGAAATTATTGGCTGCAGGAAATATGGCGATCGCACCGCCGCCATTTTCCCGCAGCGGCTCCTTCGGGAACTGCACAGCTGCACTTATTGGTTCAGGTCGAGTCGCGCAAAGGCCGGTGGCGCCATCTCGCAGTGCAATTACGCAGTAGCTCAGTGCAATTACGCCGTAGCTATGGAAACCAACTTGCACGTTTTTACTTTTCGCTAAATGGGAGTGCTGCTACAGTATTCAGTTTGGCCTTGGTGGACGCCAGCGGCCCGGGTTTGAAAGGCGAGTTTCCCAACTGAGTGTTCTAGTCACGTTGGCACAGCGTTATTAAAACCTTGGAATCTAAGTACACTAAAATCTCAATACTCTACACGCACCTTCGAAAGAAGCAGAACCCATCAAAGGTTCTCAATAAAGTAGACTCCTCACACCTTCCACTCCTGGATATATTCAAACCTGTGATATTGCTGAGAAGCCTGGAGAGCGCATGAGTGTGTCGTGTGTGCAACCCATCCGAAAACGCCCCAAAGCTCCCCGTACTCAAGCATAACAGATCAGAATGCATGCATAATGTAAGAAAGAGACGTTATATTCTCCCACGGATCATAGAAGGACCAAGACCTAGATAAAACAGGATGCATTATTGCCCACAATTTGCAAAGAAGTAAAAGTGATAGCTCTATACTCCGTTTCAGCTTCCGTCCGAGCGCAGCCAAAGGCTGAGGGACGGTTCGCAACTTCGAGATGAGCATTCCTACGCATCACAAAGTAGTTCACAAAATTTCTTTTAAAATAACTGTTTTGTGCGTAAAACCTGCACAATGTTCCAGATGTGTATTGCTAAGAATGATTTGCAACTAAAGGAATCAAATCTCTGAAGTTTATGTTTCTATTAATAGATGTAAATGCACGTGGTTTGGTGAAAACATGTATATCCGCTGGCAACACATCTGCAGCGCTCGGTTTTTCTGTGCGATTTCGTTCCCATAATCGCCGAATCATGTGCTTCGCTGCTTTCTTCACCGAGTCGCTTCAAAACGCCCTTTCGCAAAGGCACGTTTAGGCGTCAGGCGCGAGAAATCATGATGAATGTCTACTTTCAAATTCGGCAGGAGACTCCGGCCGCGTCGTACCACGAATGCGTTGTAAACAAGCAAAGCGTCCGGGCCACTACAATTCAGATACGCGGCGAAATCAGGGCACTCTTTTACCTGCCGATCACAATGAACGCCGAGAAGCTGGTGGAAAGGAGTGCGCCTTGAGCCCTGGTATATCCAAACAATACAAGGAAACATCAACGGCCGGGACATCGGGGACCTTGCAACGTGTACTTACAACTCGAAACTATGCCGAACAGGTGAAAAGCTCGGACACAGATGCCAGCGGCCAGCCTACGTACTGACATCCCCTGTGACTAAGTTTCAAAACGTGAAAGGGCACTTTTTAGACCTGTAGCAGACGATATCGTTGATACACCCGTAGCAAACGAAATACTCGGCGAGCGCGGGCGTCGCGGCCGACCGGCGGCGCAGCGGAGTTATACAAAAGTGCAGGCGAGATCGCGTGACCTATTGCTGGCGTGTGATTGGCTCCGGCCACACATAGCTTTGGCTGCGCTCGGACGGAAGTTGAAATGAAGTATAACACGTTCGCGCACCTCGTGATCCCAATTTCGCCGTCTTTGCGCCTCAGCCTTGCGCTCTCATACCTCAGGATCCTCACGTCACTCTGTGCATGCACGACACGGACGGCCTCTCGTTGGTGGTCAGTGTGGGTGCGATACCGGAAGCCGGTCGCGAGCAGGGGAAGCCAGTTCCTTCCGTGCTAGCTCCTGGGACGGAGTATGGCCTTGACACAGCGGCGTCATTGGGAGGTCTGCAGCGGAGACGACGCAAGCGAAAGTGAAGATTTTCCCGCTGCTGTTGAGCGACGAAGAGAGGGGGTAATGTCGACGTTCAGCTACGCTCGTATAGGGGGACGCACGCAGAAAAACGAGGAGATGCCGTACGGGAAAGGCGGGTGCATGTCATCGACTTTTGGCGGAACATATTTTACGTTTCGAGTTGTGTTCAAGAAGTAGAGATGCTATACTGAAATTGAACGCGGTGAAAGTTTCCAAAAACCATCCAACATAAACCGTTCGGATACCGCCGAAGAGGGATTTCTTGTCACGTTAGTGATGATTGAAAACGACGGTATTGAAGTTATTGTTAGCAGACCAAAGGGGAAGACGATCCGCTGACGCTTCCTCGTCGTTGAGCCGTTATTGGCTGGTCGTCGGGGCTCTCCTCTGTTCCCTCATCGCGCGGCACGGGCAATGAAACACCCGTGACCCGACTTCTCTCTCCTCGCGCCTCGAGGGGAGATTGAGGTTCTTCAATATCCGCTTGCATTTGACAGACAACAAATGCCGACACCTAAAATCCCCGCGAAGCGTCACCCGTAAAGTAAACAAACAAAATTCAAGCTTAACGTTTTTACAATTGCCGCCAAGTATGCTTTCGGAACTTGCAGGACGCAAGTCATGAGCGACTGCTCCGCCACCATTTGCTTCCCAGGATTTGCTTTTACCCTCGAGGTAAGAGTGAACACGAATCTTCGGGATCTTCGGGTTCCTTTTTGGTCTTGTTGAAGAATCAATAGAATTTTTTTGTCCTGATTGGGTCATTCTCCCAAAATCTCAAACATTTCGGTTTGAGAAAGATTAGTTTGGCGTCATTGACCTCAGTTTGCTATATAATGTTCATCAATATGTAATTAATGTGTTCTTTTTATAGGAAAGTGCCGAGCCCCCAGATGCTTCTTTATATCGTCAAAGACAAATATTGTCGAACGTACTCAAGATAAAATAGGAAGTTCTTATCTTACGGCTTCATTTTTTGTTTGTTTGAGCTTATCAATATATATTTTAGTTTTATTTAGCAATATTAATGTCTGCAATCACATGTATAAAACTTACAGACTGAAATGATGTGTCTTGATTAAAAAATATTCTTAAAGGGATACTGA